TGTGTGTGTGTGTGTGATGGAGCCACTGGGTGTCGCTGTAGCTGCAGGACAGCAGTCAGACTGCAAGGTCATAGTGTGATGATTTAATACCAAAATGTCTGGTATTAAATGTTATTTTTAATGAAAAACATTTATATATTGAGGTTCTTTTTATGATATTTTGACTGTATTTATGTTATCTTTTTATTTATTTGTGTGTGTGTCTTTTTCTTCTCACTGGTTTAGGTGAAATTGTTTTTCTGTTGATTGATGTGCCCTTTAAAAAGAAAGGTTACTGCGGTCACATACAATCAAGGCTTTAATTTATATGTGTCAGCAGGTTCGTCTGTCCATCCTTTGTAAAATAAATTCGACCTTAATGATCAGACATGAGGTAACTCTTTTACTATGTTCTCTCCTGCAGTGTTGTCTTTTTTCTGAATTGGTTTTGTGGAGAGCCCAAATTTAAATGTGGTAAAATTATATATATATTTTTAAAGCTAATTAATATAATCTGTTTTTATTCTTTTAAAAGCATACATTTACACCTTTTTATGCAGTTCAATGTAAAGCTCTTCTAATGGCCTTGTTGAATGTTGCTATATATATGTACAAATAAATTTCCCTCATCATTTCCCTACAACTAACATCAATAAACTCTAAATCCCAGATTCTTTACACAACAGCGGACAGTTTATACCCTGAATATGTAACATTAAAAAGGCTCACACAAATCAAATATACATGGACACACACTCAATAATTCAGGCAGAAATCATAAAGGTAGTGATTTATTTAATCAAATAGCAGCCCGGTGGTACAGTTCTTTATTTGGAGTTTGTGCATCAAGTCTGAGGTGGAGACTGTGTGTGTATATAAAGTGGATTTAAATAATACTAAAATATGGCAAATCTTCTTTCTCTTTTCACGCTTTCCTTTTAGAAATAAAAGTAAACTAAAATGTTAAAGCCCCTGAGTTTAAAATGAAAAGCTTGTTCTTCATTATATTCACAATTTGGCCTAAACGTAGCTGTCTAGAGGCAGTTATACCTGACGTCTGCAAACGTTGACAGAATACAATCACCGTTTGATCCATTTGGCACATAAAAGACAACGTGATGAGGATTTGACACTAAACACTGAAAACACAAACACATCCGTGTGATCTGGCCGGGCTGGGAAGAGTCGCCACGATCTCCCAAGAGTCCAGCTGAGGATCGTATTTCTCAATGCTCTGCAGATAGGTCCCTTTGGAGTAGGAGTATCCCCCCGTTACATAAATACAACCATTGATTACCACGGCCCCGCACTCCATCCTCCTCTCCTTCATCAACGATATTGGTCTCCATTCGTCTCTCTCTATGTTGTAGCAGTCTGCGATGGTCGTCTGTCCGCCCACCAAATACAGCATGTTGTCCAGAGACACAGAACACAGCCCGTACTCTGAAAACAGACAATTTCAAATCAGAATACAGCATTTTTAGCATGTTTATATTTCCATCTCCTCTCCTTCTTCTCATACCTGGATGAGGAGTTATCGTAACGATACTCCACTCGTTGACATCTGGCCTGTAGACTTGGATTTTGTCGTAGGTGCAGTTTCCTCTGTACCCATAGTGACCTCCGCTCACATAGATTTTATCTCCCATTACACAGGAAGTGGCATTTCCTACACCTTCGAAGGAAACAGAGGTTATAGGTATCATCTGATCACTCACATCTAGAAATGTTAATTAGGCTACTTAAACCTGCATTAATTGATTTTCTTTTCCATTTGGGGGCGGCTCAACAAGCTTTAAACATGAAACTGTCATACTTTTTATAGTCGATATAGCAAACAGTTGTTTATTAACACATCCAGCTGATCCAGAACAACTTTATGATTAATATGGAGTCATTTGGTAAATGTATCTCGATTATTCACTATTCTTTCAGCTCTGTTTTTCTCTCCACAAACTCCTGAGGAAACTATCTGGCTGCTAAATACTCCACTATGTTCACTAGCTAGCTAATTAACCACCCATCCTGTTTGCCTTTTGGATGTGGGCAGGTAGCACACAGTGGGTCCGCTACCTGTGTCTGGAAACAGGGTTAATGATGGTGGTAAGAATGAGTAAAAACAAAAACAATGAGCTGAGAGACGCTAAAAAGCTCTGTAGATACATATACAAGTAGTCATGTGATCCAGTGTTAATATAAAACTACTGATGTGTGCTTTTAAGTTGTCAAAACTATGATAATATGCATGTTTGTAAACTCAGTTTCTTCCTACGTTCAGGCTTCAGTTGTCATAACAACTGGATCATCTCCATGACAACTGAGCAAATTTCATCCACTCATGTGGCTGAAAGCTCAGACAGGAGAGTAAATGGACCTTGTTTTGAGACTTTTTGTCAAACGACTGCTTTTAAAATTAACTTTTAATCTCACTGTTGTTTAGTGTGGTGTTTCCAATAAACCTGCGTCGACACAACCAGGTACACCAAAACACTTTGACTTTCAATCAGTAATCAGCACTTGATGCAAACAGAGAAGCATTAATTTATTAAAGATCATAAAGATGCTTGACCTGAGCATTGTTTGAGCAAAACAGTCTACCCAAAAAAAGTTCCATTTGGAAGCTGTGCAGGAGCTTTTGAGTCAAATCACATGACCTTCATGAGCAGAGGGAAGGTTAAGGATGAACTTTTAAGCCAACATGGTCAAGAAGTCCTTAAAGTGCTCAACAACATCTGCTGATGAAGATCACATGATATGACAAAAAGCTCCAGAACAGCTACTAAACTGACCCTGTAGTGACATTGTTTCTTCTCCCTCCTCAGTTCATTAGTGCATATAATGCACCACTTCATATTATTTGCATACCTTGGATCATTTTGGCCACAGGGAACCATTTCTTTTTCAAAGGGTCATAAAACTCTGTCTCTTGCTCCGGAGCTCCTCCTCTGTAGCCTCCGATGGCATAAATACAGCCATGCAGAGCCACGGAGCAATGGTAGTATCTGGCTGTGATCATGGGGCAGCCCTGGGTCCATTCATCATAGTCACAGTTATACACAGAAACCGTGTCCAGAGCCTCAACAGTGTTTGTCCTGTAACCACCAGTCACATAGATATTTGCTCCAAGTAAACTGACGCTGTAGCTCTCTCTTGCAGGATCAGGCATGTCTTTTCCTTGCACCCAGGTGTTGCTCATAGGATCCCATATGTGAACTTCACACAGAGGGTGCCAGTAGTATCCACCGATGACATACATGCTGGAGGACACTTTTCTGCTTGCACACATCTCCTTGCCATTGGACCTTAAAGCCTGAATGATCACGGATTTAAATTTCCCTTCACTGTTCAACAAGCACCGCCTGTGCACCTCTAAAGTGGACTTGAAGTAAACCTCATCCAGGTCCAGATGGATGCAGCGCAGCAAGTCTGCAGCGTGGTGAACACGCCCATCCGAGTCATTTGTCACCCATTTGGCCACGGCATCTATCAACACTTCATCCCTCTGCACAGTGAGGCTCTGGGCGGCCAACACGGACCTCACCCTCTCGTGATCCAGCTCCAGGAACTCCTCCTGCTGAACGAGCTCCGTGAACCTGCTCAGCATCACCCTGCGGGCCTCCCTCTCCAGGCCCGGGCACAGGTGCAGCTGAGCAAAAGCGTGCATCCCCAGGCAGTTGTCCACATCCAGGAGGCGCATGAGGAACTCCTCGCACGCCTGCTTCACGGACACGAACTGCAGGAGGTCCGCGGCCTCCAGCAGGCTCTGCACGTTGCTCTCGGTGATGCGCACCCGAGCCGAGTACACATAGTCCAGCAGGGCACCCAGGACCGCGCAGTCCACCCCGCTCAGCTTGATGACGCTGTTTGACCTCTCCCTCATATCAGCTGTGAACATGACTTTAAAATAGGAGCTGCGGGCCGACAGCAGCGCCCTGTGGCAGTGAAACACCTGTCCGGACTCGCCGCATTGTAGAGTCACGTCGGTAAACAGGCCACTGATGTAGAAGCGCCTGAGTGCGTCCAGGAGCTCCGCTGCGTGGTCACCATCACAGAAGTCGTACGTGTAGATCTCAGCCTGCTTATGTGACATGGTATCTGTGGGAGATGTATGAAAATGTGTGTGCAGTCACACAACCTGCTGCACAGAAGAATCCACAGAGCAGAATAGTGGTGTCACATTCCTAATGAATGGATGTTTTAGGATACAAATGCCCCCCACCCCCCTTATTTCCCTTTTAATTCACAAACAGAGCACAATAGGCTTACCTCTCATCCTATTTCCATGCAGGCCCCCCGTGCTGGATCAACACAAACACTCGCAGCGTCCTCTCTGTGAACGCTCCTCTCCAAAAACACATGAACCTCAATTTAGCTCACGCAGGACGGTCGCAGGCAGCCCTATCCTATTTTGGTATTTGTGCGCAGCAGCGGCCATCCCCCTCCTCCTCCTCCTCCTTCTCCTCTCCTGCAGCACACACTCCACCAGCAGGTCCTTGACACACAACAAAAAAACCCCAAGCAACCATTCAAGAGGAGTCAACCCGCTAGTTTCTCTCCCAGAGCCTAAATATAACCTCCATCCGCACAGTCCCGTGATGCGCTCACGTACGGCGCATTAGTGGAGCCAACAGGCGGAGACACCATCACTAACTGAATACAAATCTCATACAAATGAGCATCGCCTTTTCAGTGCAGCACAAACAAGAAACCATCGCACTCTTCACCATTCATGTTTCCCCCCCTCCATTCTTGTCGTTGCCATGGCATTCTGAGTCCAGTTCCAGTGTGGCCAAGGTTTTAACCCTAATCCCGACCAGGATTAACAGCACAGTGCTCAATATTCATGCCTGCACATGATCTCGGAGATATGAGTGCGTGGACTATTTATGCGCACAGGAGAGTTATGATCAGTTAAATCCTTTAATTATTTAAAGTCACACTGTGGAAAATGGGACTTTTAGTGAAGAGTGGCCCGTCTCAGAGGGACACATTAGTATACATGGTGCATTAAGCACTGTATCCAACCTTCCCAAGGTGTAACATTGTGCAGTCATGATATTTATAGTGATATTTATAGTGATGATATTGATTGTGTCATAAAAGGTGTCTCTTCTCCATGTAATGCAAGCTGTGTTTATATTTGCATATTTTCTTTCACTGCTTTCATTGATTGTATTTTCAGTGCTCTTATTCTTGACCTCTGTGCTTTCGGGGGCTACTAAGGAAAATAAGCTTTTGTAGGTAACTTCTGGCATCATTTCTAAAATGTGCACCTTGTCAAATAAAGTAAATAAAGGTCTTAGTGTTTCATGCTGTCGGGTAGTTTTACTGGACATGGATCATGTTTTAGGAGCTTGTTTCACATGAAAAATCTGCACAGTAACCAGCTGTCATTTGGATATATGAGCCACTGTACAATGTAATGTGATCACCTAAATAATAAAAATAGAGTTGAAATATATGTCATCCCACACAAATACTGAACATTGTAAACTTTACAAATTAGTACTACCAAGTATAGTATTGGATTGATATAGTGGCAACTTGTTCACTGAATAAAAACACTCGACTGCCAGCACTTTACAATTGTTCTTAGTAAAGGTGTACTTTATTTTACATATCTGCTTTAAAAAGGAAAAACAAACTGAACAGCACACGACACTGAAACGTTTCATTAAGCTTAACTTCAACAAAGTGCATGTAAAGCATCTA